GGGTGTGATTCCTGAGGTCCATGGCCCCCAAAGCATCCCGGCGGGGTCTGCCTGGGGCGGGGGGCTGTCCTCCCCAGGTGAAGACGGCTCTTCTTAGTTGCCCTGTGACAGCTGGGTCTCACATTTCCTGAAGCTGGATCTGTGGGAGGAGTCTCTGAAATGGGGACAGGTGGGGGGAAGGAGGGCAGAGGTGAGGGGATCTGGGAGCTTTTGGAGTAGGGGGTGTGGGGAGAAGTCGGGCCCCAGCATCGGGCCCCAGTCCCGGAGGAAGGAGGGCATGGGATTGGGGCCCACTCATGGGTGTCAGGAACACCACACAGGGGTCACCTGTCCTGCCGGGCAGGAGGCCAATGCAAAGGGGTCCCTGAGCGGTCAGGGGGAGGGACGTGGGGACCCAGGTAGAACGGGTCACACCCCGGCAGCCTTGCTGAACTCCGGTGTCCACTCCCGTCCTGACAGAGGTCAGCCGCGCGTTGTGTGACCCTCCCACTCCCCTGACCACACCCGCCGGGGCCCCGGGAGGACGCTCACCTCTTCTGACTGTCCACTCGGAACAGCGGCTTGTAGAGCTCCGGGATCTTGCGCTCCAGCATGGGCCGGAGGCTCTCCTTCAGCCTGTGGTAGTTCCTCTTCAGCTCCTGCTGGTACTCGCGCTGGTCGGCCGCGATCAGCCGCTTGTTCTTCTCCACGGCCTCACCACACCTGCGCCCAACACACCGGAGGAGGGGGGTGTTCAGAGACACGGGGAGGGCGGCCCATCTGCTCCCGGATTCACCTGGGGGGAGGGAGGGGCTGGCAGCTCCAACCCCACCCAGGGCTCGGCTCTGCCGGAGAGACACCTGAGGAAATGCTCCCGCAAAGGCAAAGGGGACGGGAGGCCCGGCGGGGCAGCTCTCCCTCCCCCCCACGGGGCCTCCAGGAGTCCGAGCTGATCCCGCAGCACAGTGGCCACTAGCTCCAGGGAGCGAGAACAGACCCCGCCCGAGATGCGTGAAGCCCCCCGGGCCCGGACCCCAGTGAGAAAGAGGGGGTCCCTCAGTGAGATGGACAGACCCTGAGCTCGCACATGGGAGCCAGCGTGAGCACAGCGGGTGCTTGGTGTGCCTGCACCTCAGGTTGGCACTGACTCAATGTCACCCCACAAGGACACGAGCAACAACAACAGGGTCCGGGCAGAAGCAATTGGCAGGGTGTTTTCTGAACAGGGACACAGCGGTGCTCCCCCAGGAAAGAGCATCCAAGACTGAGAAACAAGCCCTGGAGTCTGTGCCGCTACAAGGCCTGCGGCCCGGGACCTCCTGCCCAGGACCGTCTGTCTCCAGGGAAAAAACAGACCCTGGTCTTTAAAGGCCAGCACGTCTTTCCTTTTGGGTGACGCCGTTACTACGATGGCTGTGACGCTGGACCGTGCCCACCCCGGGCAGCAGCCTCAGAGTAGACCCCCACCGTCCAGCCAACAGTGGACACACTTGTGTCCCCTGATACAGACTGCCACCTGCCCCCCTTGGAGGAGCCCACTTCCGCTCCGTGTTCCACTTTAGCTTACCCCCTTTCTCCTGACCCTTCTGAGCTCGGCCCCTGGGTCAGTGCTGTGCTTGGGTGGGATGGGGTCGATGATGCTAACTCCAGTGGGTGGGGTGGGGACGGAGGAACACGGACGTCCACAAAGCTTAGGAGGGAACCCAATGGCTGAGATGAAGCCCCAGGCAGTAACTAGGGGCCATTCTGCCGCCTCTCGGGTGAGGGGCTGTGGGTGATCAGGCTGTCTGGAGGGCTGTC